GGAATGCCAGTAGAGGGCAGAGACTTCCAATGAATGGAAGAGATTTCTCTATTGCTGGGAACGCCTAACTGTGTTCTTGGCAGCCACAGCCTCTGCTGAGAGGCTCATTCTCCTTACTTGCTTTATTGCCACAATCTAAGCTTTCTGGCCTTTCCTACACCAAGCACATGCAACCTATTACATACACCACTTCCAGGAAACCCTTCCATCTGTTTCAAACCAAACTAAACCAAACCAAACCAAAACACACCAGACCAACACAAAAAACCCCAACAATAATAGAAGAAAAAGCAAACAAAAATGAAGAAGGCAAGACTGTGAAGGAAGTCCCACAGCAGGGTGTAGCATAAATGTTGACATGTTATCAACAAGCAGACTGTCAATAATCTCTAATAGTTTTAAGGGCTTGGACACAACAGGAAGAGAAATTGATTATTTAACTTCTGTACTGCACAGGATTATAAGGATTTCCTAACCCAAACAAAATAACCAGCATCTATTCAGACCAGGCTATTATTAACAGAGACAGAATTTCACAGAATCATAGAATGGTTTGAACTGGAAGGGACCTTAAAGATCATCTAGTTCCTACCCCCCTGCATGGGCAGGGACACCTCCCACTGGATCAGGTTACTCAGGGCCTTATCCAACCTGGCCTTGAATTTGGATACATAACATTAATTACTATACATTTTTAATGTGAACACTTTAACTCCCTTGCTTGTGAAATGAAGGAATAGATTATATTTTTTAAAGTGTTATTTAGGACGGAACAAGAAGTAGTGAGCCACAGGACTGTCATTTCTATAATTTAATATTCATTATCCAGTGCCTCTTGTAGATATGAACTACACTGTATTTTCCTTGTATGAACTTCCTCTTAAATCCTTTTCTTAAGTACGTCTTAGGGCATTTTTACAAATGAAAAGCATTGTACCTTAAGATTGGAGCCCCTGGTTTCTGTTCCTGCTTTGGCTTCTCATCTGCTGGAAGATTTGAATACATCTCTGCATTCCTGTCTCATATCCCAAATCTATATACGAGACCACTGAAAGTGTTTTGAGACTACTGATGAAAATCAGAACATATGAATGAAATACAATTATCTTTCTGTGCATGCAATAATAGAAGCTCAAAATACCTCTTTTGTCAGTGATCTCATTGAAATGAATGTAAAATTGTCACCACAAGCTAAAGTCATATTACTTTGCTACCAGTCACATTCAGTGATTTTCAAAAGAAGTACTATGTCAAATATTGCCTCAGCCAGATTATCTGGATGGCATTTACCTGTGTAGCTGGTAGAAGGTACACAGTTTCTACCAAGCACAACAGGCATTAGTTTTTTTGTGATTATCACAGCTGGAAAGTACAATATTACTTTTAATTTTGAACAAATCAATTATTCTTTCTACCAATGCATCCTTAAGTGAGTCAGGGTTGAGGAAATAATACAAATGGGTTCCATATTAGATTCTGGATCCACACGACTTAGCATGATGGTTAGCTTTTTTAATTTAAGCTCATACATGGCCATAACCTGGAAAAAAAGTGTCTCTGACTCCCAAGAAAGTTATTTTTCCAAATTATTGAGATCTTTCTGATGTGCTCAGACTCCCAGATTTTTCTTCATCCTACATATTAAGAGTGACCAGACTATTAAAATGCCAGCTGCTAGTTACCAAAATGAGAGCTTACTATAGCGGACAGCAGGGCAGAGCTATGTGTGTCTGAAATAAGTGCCTTATGCATCCAGTATTGTACTAATCAAATGAAGTAGTTCATAATCCAACAGATGCTAATGACCTACTTTATCCACATTACCTGATGAATAGCTTTAACTCCACTGATTTTTCTGAATAACAAGTTTTCTTTCACCTTACAAACCAC